CTTTGTCTTTTGCTGTGATAGCCTGCTGTAAGTTCGAAGTTTCCTGGGCCTTTTCAACTTGCAGACGCTGCACCAACTGGGAACCATGGGCTCTCTCGTCGTCCATTTTCCCAAGAGCTAGTTCAAACTCTTCTTGAATCTGGTCCATCACATCCAAACATTGTCGATGTGTCGCCTCATAATCTTTCTTCCGGGCGGTTTTCGTTATAGAATGTCCCTGGAAACGCTCGTCAGCCACGAGTACATTATCGAAGGAAGATCGCATCATGTCTTTCGACGCAGAGAGATACGAATAACTGTAGACAAGATAGGGAATGACATACCAGGTCTTTGCGTAGCTTCGCCACTGGGTTCAGAGTATTACGGTCCGTCTTGGACGTAGAGACTGTCGACCGAACAGAACAAGGCGAACCAGCACGCGACCTGCTAGTGCGAGACTTTGCTTTGGTAGCACCGCATCCTGCACTCCGAGAGGGCTTGGAGTCATTTGCCATACTGAATCCTTCCGTTCGAGGGATTATTGTTGGTTCAAGCAAATTGTGGTCAAACCGTAAAACACGAATGATCGCAGTACATGTAGCCTCCTGGGGAACAACCATTTTAAAGGTTTCGGTGGAGACCAAAGCAAGAGATCTGAAACAAAATGAAAACGCTGTGCCCTTGCCAAGACTTTGTTTTCTGGCATCTGGACCTTGATCAGAGAAGATCGAGTAAGCTTTCTGCACACCGGACCCCATGGGGTGCTAGCGCGAAGTACAAAAAAGAAAGAAAACGAAATAAAATAAAATAAAGAAAAGAAGAGGAAGAGGAAGAAAAGAAAAAAAGAAAAAAAGCCTGCCGGTCCATGGCGGAGGAAGTGATCGACCGGCCCGCACTAAATCCATGCAATCAGTGGTGTCTCAATACAGGCTACATTTGAAAAATCCGCGTCGCTCTTGCACCCAAGAAAACTATTTTCCCTTAGGTATAATGCAATTAATGTCTGTTGCACAAGTCTACATAAATGGCGCTATCCTGTTAATAGCAGCGACCTTCCCCCGTCACGGCCCTCATTGATGAACGCTGTTATAGCAGAGGCGGGATCTAAAATTCTACGCAGTTCCACTGTCACCAGAACCAAAGCCTGGTTTCCAAGACAACCACATGAGCCATTTCAGCCACCAAGGCTCACGATTTGGTCCCTTGTCGATCGCCACCCCATTCGCGAGATTGTAACGCTATTATCACACTCCTGATGAGACCTTGGACACAAGGGACTCCCGTCGGACCAACCAAATAATGCGCACGAATATGGACGGACGCTGGTACAATTCTACAATGAAAATACCAGCGATGATCCATGGGATAGTAGATCAAGGAGGTTCTATTTGTGGTACTCAGACGAAATTGGAAGGACTTGCAAAGGTCCAGACACGATCCAAAAGCCCAGACTTAATGGGCTGTTGTCGTGCGGGTGGAGCGGCTTAGTTGCTTAGGAGGTACTTTTCGGGCGAGTGAGGTATTTGGAATATCACCCAGTCTTTCCAGAACAGAATGAAAAAGATGTGCGGTCATGGTTTCATAGAGCCCTTCGGTCATCCGTTGATTGCCGAGCTTCTGCTTCTTCGTCTATCTGATCTATAGAACGTTCTAGAAGCTATGCGTTTCACTCTGCATCAGCCATCTCCGAATAAGCATACTCCCTCGCTATCCGATATTTTCTCCCCTGCCCTTGCTCCAATTCCTGGCCAGGCTGGTAACACTGGTAGACATCTTGTATGTGTTCATTCCAATATTGGACGGACCAGAGAAGCCTACGTAAACATGTCGTCCGGTTTTTGTTCTAAAAGCCGAGAAACCGATTGGCTTTTGGAAATGAAAGGAGTCGGCGTTGTGGGACCGAACTTCTATGGGCCGGAAATCTTACTTTTTTTTAGCATCCTTCTCAACGTTGCTAATACTCAGGACCGCGCGACCAATACTGTTTATAAACACCATCGTAATCATTTCATCACATGGTCTATGTCAACAGGCCAAAATCGTGATAAATGTGGTTCATTTCCTCCAGTACAACAGTTCAGACTGTAGTGGCAGCCGTAGTCATGATAGATCTGGAAAGTAAGTGGAGCAGAAGACGGGATATAAACTTTCTGACTAGGTCGAAGCTTAAATCCTAATTTCCATGAATCATCGCAGTCTCCCACGGAGCACGCGGTTCCGTGATTCATAAAAATATAATTTGTCACGATAGTTTGACATTCGGCCACTGACCGTGGATCCCGCTCTGCGTTCTACGGTCGTGATGAAAGTAACCTTTAATAGGACTTAGACGGAAAGGAACCTTTGTTCCAGGTGCGCGATAGCATGCTAGTGTTAGACTGGCTGGAACAAAAACACCCCGTCAAACAAGACTGGGCTTGGATCGAGGATCAATCATATGGTTCTCAGCTCTACGGTATAGATAACCTTGTTGTCGACCCGCCCAACGCATCTTGGGCTAGAATTCTCGCTGATAAGTGTTACTAAGAACATTGGAGTTTTCTAGGAGATCGCTAGCTACTGTATCATGACTTCATTGCTAGGCCACTCACATCTTGGTTCCATGAGAGAACTTATAAAACCAGCTACGGATCCCATCCATCAACTTTAACTAAAAATTCCTTGTACTCGTGTCAACCCCTGCCAGACCATGGATACAGTCATAACCAGCCTTCCCCCTAAAGTGGGAGCCATTCTTATGGAGAACGTCTCCATCATTCAGATTGTGTCCATGTTCTCGATCGGCGCGTACAATGCCCTAGAAACAGGGATCGTCACATTCGATACCTTCAAACACTACCGCAGTCTCAACTTCTGGAGCATGCAAGTCGCATCCTGGGGAATCCTTGTGCATGCCATTCCTGCTATGGCTCGTTTCATATCTCAGGCATCCAGCCTCCCAACGTCAATCCCTTTCGTGATCGGATGGTATGCCATGGTTACCGGCCAAGCCGTCGTACTATACTCGCGTCTGAATCTCGTCGTCTCCGATGTGAGAAAGGTACGGTGGGTCCTATGGATGATCATTACCAACGCTTGCATCCTACACATTCCAATGACTGTCCTGTTTTTCGCGCTCAATAACGGAGATACACATTTCGCTCGCCCTGCCGCAATCTTCGACCGCATCCAATCGACTGGCTTCTGCATACAAGATTTCACCATCTGCGGCATTTACATATACGAAGCAGTGCGTACATTCAAGTCTATCATTGAAGTCCGCGGTCGCGACGGCCGCAATGCCATCATTCATCTACTTTGTATCAATACCATTGTGGTCATCCTGAACGTTCTACTTCTGCTCGCGGAGTACAGACTGCACTACATTCAAGTGAGCTTCAAGACAGTGGTGTACAGCATCAAGCTGAAGTTGGAGGTCTCCGTGCTTAACCGCTTCCAGTCGCTGATGCTTGGTCGCCTCTCTCTACGTCAGTATGAACCCGAGGAGCAACGCCAATCAAGCAATGAGAATCTCGTGGACAAGAGTTTTGCACGGTCAGATGTTGCACCGGAGGTGACATTGCAACCTGTAGTTGCGCAAACAGAGATACCACATCTTTCCTAACATTGAGCCCGGGAAATACACCTTGGTCTGGACTCGGTTTAATCGTGTCGGCAATTGTGAGATGCACATGAATTGCGCACCCTTCACTGGCGAATGGGTCGCCGTCAAAGTCGCCCGGGAACACGCCCAAAGAGTTGCTTGCATTTTCTGCTGTGTTCATTGCCAACGTGGATGGTGGCACTACCAGAGAGCATGTTGGCATTCGCTTCTCTCGGCCGGAAGGCATTGTTGAATATACTGGCGACAACAAAAATCATCGGCGAGAGGGTGAACTCGTAAGCAGCGGGATTTATACATTTGGGCCAACTCTAGTCAGTGATCGGGACACTATAGGCGGGAGCGATACCACTGGTAACGGTACTGGACCACATCCTGGCTGCCGTTGTTGTCATGGTCCTTACTCTTGTAGATGGGTTTGATGAGCGATGGGCTTCTGCCACGATGAAGTATATATATTCTGGAGCGTTGCTTCTCGATGGAGCCGGGCTGAAAGAATTTTACAGACTATCACTAAACGACTTATTTGGACTATAATACATTCTAAGTACCGTGAAGCTTGTGTGGGAACAATGCCATTCAGATTCTTCAGCTGAAGCACCTCATACTATCTGCCATGTGCGAAGCCCCCACGAGCAGCCGTCCTAAGTCCAGTCTCGTATCCCATAATTTCCGTTGTTTCAAGGTTGTCCATGGCTTTTCGTCCCAACAAGGGAGTGCACTTGCGATATCACGGCAGCAGCTTGTCTAGCTGGTCAGTTGTGTTAAAAAAGGAACAAAGCGGAACATAATCCACGTGCTACATCAAGTCTGATTGTAGTAGACGAAGTACGAGAGATAAGAAACAAAGATGATTCATCTGACTAGGAATAAAAAACAAAAACGACGTTCATTGAGTGAAAATTTGTGAAGCAATTCGAGAATTTAATGCCCGAACAGACCATCCCTGCTATACCGTGTGCTTCCTTTATCTATAGTCTCCTTCGTCAACCAGCCAACATGAAACACAGAATTGCGACCTTCTCGACATGTTATGCTTCTACGCAAAGAGGCAAACCGGATTCAGTGCATTGTAATTCAACAACGAGCATAGTAAGATTTAATACCGTGATAGGCAGTCTTGTTCGCTATACTGACCAACAATTTCAACTCCCCTTCGCATGACTTTCGGGTGAACATCTCATTCTGTCACATTAGCTGAGGGTATGATGAGTATCGGGATGAACCTACCTGCAACAGTTCCTCAATGGAGACGCTTTCCAGCTGCCGAGGTAAATTTTGGATCTCCGGTTCCCACTCGTAGGTACGATTCTTTAACATCAACTTGGTGACGATATCGCCTAGAGCGCATAATTTCATCGTCGCAGGGTTCATTTCCGATTCTTCAATTTGGCAGCTATTCTCGACACCCTCTGTGAAAGTTAGTCTTTCTTCATCGATATTCACCTTATCAGCGGATAGACTCACTAATCTTAACATCACCAGACTGTGTAAACAAGATCGTTTCCGGGCTCAGGGTAGCGAGTGCTCTTCCGAGCCGGCGCAGATATTGGATTCCTTCCAACACCTATTTCAGGTGAGTTTAGAATGCGCCTACAAGTGATCAGTGTTTGACATACCGGCTTGACAATGGCAACGATTTCATCGTCAATAATCGAGCAGCTAGAAGCTAAAATGTGATCGACTGACACTTCCGTTGGTTCCCAAATTAAAGTGCACGATGCTTCATGATGGTAACATTCGAGTAATTTTAAAAAGCTGGGATGAAAAATTTGTTCCATCAGTTCTAGCGTACTTGCAGCGAAAGAGAACTGTTGTTCAATTCGTTGGGTATGCACCAAGTGTCCTCTTTTCTTCCTGTGTCGGGCAAAGATCAGAGACTGATCTTTCGATCCGGCAACAGGCTCAAAAGTATCCCACGGGTTCTGATTCAGGCGTGATATTCTTGCCTCTGGACTGTTGGGCCGTAATTTTGTCGAACCGGGAGCGATTGCGGGGGCGCTCATTGTATGACTCGGTGAGGGTTTGATATCTGGAGAGGCAGTTGATTTTGAACTTAGCTCCTCGTGGCAGAAACTAGATTTGCCCACCCACACAGTAAGAGGTCGGCTGTGTTTGATCTGTTTCTCGTTCATCATGCAGTGTAGTTCTTGCGGAGCGTGAAAAGGCACAGTGACGATTTTCCAGCGGACAAAGACCTTATGTACAACGCTCCAAAACATTCTTTCGGCACATACCTGTCGCCCTAGCAACGATAGCCCTTCATGCGCGATGCGGTAGAATTAGATATTTTTGACTGTGATTATGATCTGCATCAAGTATAGCGGGACATGCCGAAACTTTGTTGATTCAGATTCCTTGGGTTTGTCCATCGTTTGGTTGTATCCTGAGAAAGATACCTGGTCGCTAGTGCGTGCCGGGGCAAATTCCGATATCCCCGATACGCTAAACCATCAACGGCCCACGTGCCGGGAGACTGACTGGAATTATCTTGGCCCCTAGTATATGATTATTCGAGACCAACATCACTTGCTACAATGGTAACATAGACCCTAGCGGTTTGCTAAGGATGTGGTCTTGCGCATTGGTGTACTGCATGAGACAGGTTAAATGAATTGAGCTCAGCAGGAATCCCAGTCAAAGATTGGTTGCTGGCGTCGCCTTTCTTGGTCATCAGCATTCCTCTAGTTGGCTTGCGTTATTGTAAACGATATATACTTCGAAACCCAGGACGACCCAGTTCATGAAGTTGGTTGGACGTGGACTGAGAATTGATCAAATAAGGGCCATTTACATGTCTATTGCCTAGGTTGGAAAATTTTTCCAAATATTCCAGAGCAAGTAATTTTTGATCGGGGCTTACGACTGAAAAGGCACTAACAAACCTGCTAGGCATATGTCTCTACAATCAGAAACGATTCTCATGCGGAGACTGGAGCTGGACTGGCTTTGCTCACCGATTCATTCATCCCTTTGAAACTGCGAGACCCTTCGCCGTTTGTTAGTTCCATGATATGGAGCCGGACTCACTTGAAGTGGGTTTAGGTTGGTCTGCAACTCCGACGTCTTGCGTTCGTATTGGCGATCAGCACATCGATCCGGATTGCACACTATGTGGTCGGGCCCACCCATGCTTGTGTCACGAGGGGACACCAGCTCAGATGGAAGGCCATGGATCACCAGCCGTTCTTTGAGAGAGATCATCGCATAATACCCTGTGGAATGATCCAAAGCGGCAAAGACATGCATCCCAGTCACCCTGTCCACGAACTTTAGGATCGGCACCCGAGCATGTGCAATGCATTCAATCGAATTCGGAACAGCGATATTGGTGCTTTTTAGGAAGCCCGAAATTGCGTGTATATGTCCTTTTTTTTCGCCCATGGAACGCGCCCCTGTGCGTCTAAACGTGTCTGACAGTAGCACAAGGTCAATATCGGCAGTAGACAGATAGCTACCAGAGTCAAAAGAGCCAAAGCCATGGATTTCAATGCCGCCGTACCGATTCTGGAATGCAGTATCCAATAGTTCGACGAGATCTCAGCGGACAATGTTCTCAATTTCCTGTGGCTTGGCCCAGTCATAGAAGCTGACAATCTCGTGATCTAACCTAGTGCGGGTTAGAAAAGGAGCTACTCGATAGCGATTAAGAGGACAGAGAGATATTGACTGGATCCTACGCGTAAGGAAGACGGAGTAGATTCAAATCAAGGCGTGCCCAGCTCTTGAGACAGTGGTCTCCACTCACTGGTAACGGAACCGTCGTAGTCGCTCTTGCTTGCAGCATTGCCGGTCTTTATACAATGGTGTCTGATTGCCCCCACTGGTTCGCTTTTAACTGGGATTGGCAGAATACATACTTTTCTGGCCTGCTGGCCTTTTAGGGGCAATATTGGCAGTGTTTTCGGGAGCGTTGCTCTGAGGTTGCGATTCTGATATCATGCCGAGGGAAACGAAATCCAAATTCACCCTGAGTTCATCTGTCTCGTCTGCCTTCGCTGCATTGCCAAGTCTCGCTTTGCGAATCAGCCTGACAATGTCGAACCTGTTATCCATTTGTTTGCTTGGTGGGGGTAGCGCAGTGCATGGATCCGGGTTGGACCGTCCCTGAGCAGAGGGGCAGGGGGGTGGGCTTAGCGTAGTGTCTTGGGGTTCATCAAGACCCATTGCGCGCTTCTTGCGTGGCCCCTCAGTGTTGGGGGCGTCATCGGACGTGTCCATGTTGGCCTCTTCCCTATCGCTCAAGCAGACGAGAAGGTGAACTCGAGTGGAAGAATATTTTAGTTTCATCCCGAAGTTTCTTCGGTGGTTTCTCCCTTTCTAGACAGGAGCGGACTGTATGCAGTGGGAGGTGGCCGGTAGCAGAATCCGAACCCATGTTTTGGATTCGGGCGCGAGCCACGGTAGTCTGAAATTTCTCTGAACTAAAATGGCGGCATTCTGAGGAGTTTGAAGGCAGCAAGAATAACGGGAGCGGAACAGAACGAAACGGCTCTTGGTGAGTGAACGAGAATTGGATGCGTAGAGTATTGCCAATGATGAAGGTTGGGGAGGGGAATTGACCAAATTGGAAGGGTGGAATGGAAGCAGAATGCTTCCCGGTGAGTGTAGAGGCTAGGGCTTGGGATTGATTTCAATCCACGCGCTAGTAGTGTTTGGCGTGATGCAAAGTTTTATCCAGCACAGCGAAGTTGCTGGAAATCACATCTTCACACGGACCTTGTTTCAGGTCCACGATGTATTTAATAGATGTTAGTACAGTGGAAGTAGGGGCAAAAGGGAAGAACTTATCAAGTAACTGCTTGACTTTGCAGAGTCAAGTAAATTGATCGTAGAGCAAATTGCCGAGGGAGGACGTATTTATAGGCTTCTCGGCTTCCGTCACTTGCAAGCTGGGTAGGAAATATTGAGGGAAACCTATTCCTATTGAGGGCTGTTGAAAGTCATCTAATTACAGCAACACTTTTGATGCTTTTGGAGCTTCAGTGAGAAACTAGCAAGAGCCATGTTGAAGAGAAGGGATGCTGAGTCGGTCAAGAAATGTTAGCTGACTGTTGAATCCTTCACGGTCCTCTGAAATTGAGGCTTTGCGGGAGATATTCAATCCGCAATGACAAGCTCATTTTTTTTTTCTGATCAGCTCATCTGTGAGAGACTCAACGTTAGATCACCCGCCAGTTGTGCCTACAATTTCCATTTAAAAGGTCAAAATATTCTGCGAGTTACTATCAATGAAAGTACTGCCAGCCATGTCACCCTACCCTTAACCTGTCACCGCCTGTGCAATAACCCTGATTTACCGATAGCGTAATTCAAGGAAAAGATTTTACCTAAATCTGCACATTGGAGGGTGTTTATAGGTACAAGCGAGCTACTCTTGTAGAAGTAAGAGAACGAAGAGATGGAAATATTGTCGGGCGCGTTGGTAACCATATTTAGGGGAGATGTGCGTGAATTACATGATTCGTTGGAGCCCAGACACTGAAAGATGAATCCAACAAAGTAATCACAGCCTACCTGTAGTTCAAGGCCAAGTGCGAAAGTTGCCCTCCTCATCCAAGTGACCTTCAAGGTGGAGCGCAATTCTACAGTTGGAAGCTGCTTCAATGGCCCTTTTCACATCACTAGCACATTTTGCACGAGTGTCCCTGTAGAGACGCTTGACAACCTGTTCGTGTCCATTCCGAGCTGCTTTGCATAACGCCGTGTCCCCGAATTTGTCAGTAGCGGTAACATCCAGCCCATTTTCCTCCAGCAAGAGATTTATAATAGCCAAATTACCATCGTAAGCGGCCAAGGAAAGTGCAGTGTCTCCCATATAAGTTTTGAGATTGATGTCGGGGGGTGTTGTGTGTTCAAGGAGTAACCTTATAACTTCCGGGTGGCCCATCTCGGAGGCAACACAGAGAGGTGTGCTGTTCCAAAATTGCTGATTGACGTCGATGGTATCAAATTGAAGTAATCGGCGTACAACTTCCACATGACCCTTTTTGGCGGCATGGAACAGTGGAGGGGCCTGTTGCACGTTCACTTGTATGTCTCC